TGAGCCCCGGGCCGCGGGGGCCCTGGGTGCGCTCGGTGTACCAGGGCGCGGTGTTCCTGCTCACCCGGGGCGACCAGCTCTCCACCAGCACCGACGGCATCGACCACCTGCTCCTCGGGCCCAGTACTGTCTTCTTTGGAGCTTTCGCGCTGTAGAAAATTCCAGAAAGAAAAAAAATTGGTTTCAAGGCCTTCTCCCCATCTTGCCTCCACCCTGACCATCTCAAAGGTCACCTTGCCTGTGACCATTCCAGCAGTCTCAAGTCTCCCTGCTCATGTCACCTGGAGCTTCAAAGAAGGCGCCCTGGGCACCCAGGGTCCCCTCCCCAGCCGCCAGATCCCACTGCGCTCCGGGCGCCTGGACGCTCCCACCCAGAGCTCTGCTCTGTGGCCCCGGCCGGCCGCGGCACAGGGAGGGCGGGGACAGGGAGGGGAGCAGACAGGTCCGGAGCAGGTGGCTGTCTGGAGGCAGGGAGGGGGATTATTTATAAGGAGAAAAAAATAAGTTATTTATTTATGGAGGATGGAGGGAAGGGAGAAATAGGGGACATGAGAGGAGACAGAGATAAGTGTGCCCACCTGATGGGGCGGGGGACATCTCGGGATGCCCTGGAGGGGCCAGGTGGTCGCGGCCAGGCCCTAGGACAAGAGCCCCATCACCCAACACCTGCCAGGAGACATCGGCACCTCCCTGAGGCCCAATAAACCTTTTCCTGCGAGATGCTCTGGCTCTGTCTGTCTGTCTGGGAGGGAAGGACGTCTCGGGGCTGTTTAAGGAATGGAGGGCGGATAGAGTCCTGGAGTGGGGAGCCCTGGCAGATATGGCCACAGGTGGAGGCTGTGGGGAGTGGGTTACAGGGAGCTTCCAGAGAGAAGTGACCCCACCGAAGGGTCTTCAGGACTATGGGGCGGAGCATGGGGTCCCCTGAAAGCCTCCAAGGTGAGGGGCTGGGGAACACAGGGGACATTTGAGGGAGGTGGTCACGCCCAGGGGCTCGGGGACTAGGCCCTTTCGAGGGACCCGAGGGAGCAGGCGTTCTTTGGGGTCACGTGGCCACACACTGGGCCTCATACGAAAATCAGAGCCTCGGGTGCCTTTGGAGCCGAGACTGAAGCAGCACTGTGAGGTCAGAGCGAACGGGAAGGCCTGCCGGTGGGGTTCGGGACTCCCAGGCTGCCTCGCTCTCTCTGGGTTGCCCAGGCTTGCCGCTGCTCTTCCCCCAGGCCTCCAGGGGCCCCATCCCCTCCTCTCCCAGAGACCCAGCCCCCCAGCAGGTTTCCCCTTTTTCTTCCTGTCCAGGACTCAGCTCTCTGAAACCCCTCCTGTTTCCAGTGCTGCCCCTATGTGAGTCCTGCCTGCAAATTAGAGGGAAACAGGCCACAGCCCTGGTCCCCAAAAGGAATGGAGACCGTGGGAATTAGGGGGCAGAGGGGAACTGGGGTCCAGCCTTTAAGGTCCTACATTCACAACACTGACTGGCCCAGCAAGGCCACCTCCCAATCCAGGCGGGGAGAGCAGCCAGTATCCTTGATGCCTGGGTGTCCCCAACTTTCCAAATCCCCACCCCCGCAATGGAGAAGAAACCAAACCGAGACTGAAGGTGCAGGGCCCACTACCGCTTCCTCCAGATGAGCTCATGGGTTTCTCCACCAAGGAAGTTTTCCGCTGGTTGAATGAGAGCTCTCCCCGCCCTCCACCCCCCAGGCTATAAAGGCAGCTGCTGGCACAGGCAGCCAACAGACGCTGCTCAGCGAGGACACGGGAGAGAGCCAGCTCCAGACCCTCGGGAAGTGACCTCTCAGCGACACAGCCCCAGAGAAGCGCCAGGCAGCTCTCTCCCGCGGACACCCTCTCCACCCTCTCGCAGCCGCAGCCGCAGCCACCCTGTGCTTCGCTGGGACACAGCATGAGCACTGAAAGCATGATCCGGGACGTGGAGCTGGCGGAGGAGGCGCTCCCCAAGAAGGCAGGGGGCCCCCAGGGCTCCAGGCGGTGCTTGTGCCTCAGCCTCTTCTCCTTCCTCCTCGTGGCAGGAGCCACCACACTCTTCTGCCTGCTGCACTTGGGGGTGATCGGCCCCCAGAGGGAAGAGGTGAGTGCCTCGCCAGCCTCGGCTCCCCCCACCACCAAGAGAAAAATGAGGGGAAAGAGGGTGAGAGGTGGGAGGGAACACTGGAGAAAGACGGGGAGGCAGAAAGAGAAGTGGAGAGATCAGCGAGAGAGAAGGTTGGAGAGAGAGGACCTGTCACCTAGAAGGTGCTCACTAAACATGTGTTGAGTGAATGAATGAGCAAGTGGACAAGCACATACCGAGAGATGTGTAGAGAGCTGTGGGGCATGAGTAGAGAGCTAGGGAGAAAACAGGTGCTATGAATGAAGATGCTGAGATGAGCAGAGATGGGAGCTGTGAAGGAGATGAGGTGGAGGAAGGAGAAATACAGAAAGATGAATTTAGGGCGTCTGCCTCCTGGAAAGCTCTCAACAAAGATTGTCGCATAGACGGGTGAGTGAGTGAAATTGTGGATGGAGAGAAAACTAGACACATCAGGCAGAGAGGACACACCAGCTAAGCAGCCAGCTCTTTCTCCCCGGGGGGACCTGTTCTGATGCTAATCCTCTTCCTTCTCCCCAGCAGCACCCTCATTCTCCCCAGCAGTTCCAGATGGGCAACCTCCCGCTGGCCAAGACCCTCGGTGAGTGTCGCCTAAGCCTCTCGCCTACGTCTGGGTTTGGGTAGAGTTGGTGTTAGTCCTGGGATGGTAGCAGCGGGGAAATTTACACCTGGGGGTGGAGGGATGAGGAATGGAGGTCAAAGTAGCAGGCTATTTTGGGGGGAAACTTAAGGGTCTCACCTTTTTCTTTCCTCTTTCCTCAGGGTTATCTTCTCGAACCCCAGGTGACAAGCCTGTGGCCCATGTTGTAGGTAAGAGCTCTGAAGATGGTCTGGGGGCGTAGAAGCAGGTGGGCTGGGGAGGGCTGGGGTTTGGGAGCTGGGCCCAGGCTGAGGGCAGACAGTCCTTGGAGACCCTGTGAGAAGAACTCACTGAATTCAAGGGGAGGGCGGAGAAGCACCACGGCCTCGGGGGTGGGGGTGGGGTACTCAGAGCTCCGTGGGCAGATGGGATATGGGAAGACAGACAGAGGGGACAGGAACAGGATGTGGAGGGTGTGCAGGACTCAAGGGCCAGGATGTGGGAGTGGAACTGACAGGGTCACCCTAACTCCCCTCTCCCTCCCTCCAGCAAACCAGCAAACTACGGGGCAGCTGCTGTGGCAGAACAAGGTGGCCAACGCACTCCTGGCCAATGGTGTCAGCCTGGTAGACAACCAGCTGGTGGTGCCCCTGAACGGGCTGTACCTGGTCTACTCCCAGGTCCTCTTCAAGGGCCAAGGCTGCCCTCACAGCCCCCTGCTGCTCACTCACACCGTCAGCCGCTTTGCCGTCTCCTACAAGGACAAGATCAACCTCCTCTCCGCCATCAAGAGCCCCTGCCAGCGGGAGACCCCCGAGGGGGCTGAGGCGATGCCCTGGTACGAGCCCATCTACCTGGGCGGAGTCTTCCGGCTGGAGAAGGGCGACCGGCTCAGCGCCGAGATCAACCTGCCGGACTATCTCGATTTTGCGGAGTCTGGGCAGGTCTACTTTGGGATCGTTGCCCTTTGAGGGAGCAGGATGTCCGTTCTCGTCCGCCTCAGTCCCTGTGCTACCCACTCCTCAGACCACTCCGTCCCCTCTGGGTTAGCAAGGGGATTAGGGGCTCAGGGCTGGGCTCCACGCTTAAAACTTTAAACAACACTTAGAAACCTAGAACGCACTGTGGTGTGGCCTGGACAGCGGGGCACCGGCCACTCCCCAGCATTCAAAACGCAGGTTTGGATGCCTGAGTGCAGCCGGACTCCTGGGTGTGGGGGCCGGGGAATCTTTCGTGCTGGCCAGACACTTCAGGACATCCCGTGAGAAGATCTTACCTCCCTTTCTGCAAATGTTCCCGGAAGCTCCCTGAGCAGAGCGCCCAGAGGGCCAGCTCCTCTGTTTATGTTTGCACTTGTGGTTATTTATTATTTATTTATTATTTATTTATTTGCTAATAAAAGTATTTATTCGGGAGGTCAGGTGTCCAGGGAGACCCAGCGCAAGGGCTGCCTTGGCTCAGACATGTTTTCCGTGAAAATGGAGCTGAACGCTAGGCTCTTCCCACCTGGCCTCCTGGTCTCTGTGTCTCCCTTTGCTTATGTTTTTAAAAATATTTATCTGACCAAGGTGTCTAAATAATGTTGATTTAGTGACTGACTGTCGCTACATCGCTGAACCTCTGCTCCCCAGGGGAGCTGTGCCTGTAACCGCCCTACTGGTCAGTGGCGAGAAATAAAGTGGCTTAGAAAGCAGCTCGGTCTCTTGGCATTAACTCTGCATCGGTCGTGCGGTCTGCTCCCTGGAGTCCTCTCCACAGGGCTTGGGGTACCTGGACCCCGTCCTGAGGAGACCCCACAGGAGACAGAGCTCAGCCAGACAGCCCCACCCAGAGGAACGTGCAGCCCAGCCTAATTACCTCTGCCTCGGGCGTGGGAATTTCCAACTCTGGGAATTCCGACGGGAGAGGGGAAGTCCTGCAGCCAGGTGCTCAGGTGAGATTTCTGGCTGTTGTGAGAGAGAACCGGGAGGAGCCACGTTCTCTGGCACCTGAGTCACAGCCCAGGGCTCCCCGACATTCAGGCACCTGTACTCCAAATCCCCCTGGGGGCCTCCAGCCCACCTGGCCCACTGGACCCAGCACTGCACCTCATCTGTCAAATGGAGAGAGGAATGCCCACCACAGACGCAGCCACCAGAGAAAAGCTGCCGCGGTGCCCAGCACAGCACTTGACCCGGGCACTCGGTAAACCCTGGCTTTTCTCCTTTCTCCAGCCCCAGCCGTTCTATCCCCTCCACCTCTCAGTGGGTAGGACTGACGCGATAGAAGAAAAGAAAAAGCTAGCAATAAGGTGTGGGGGAAGGGCCCACGGCAGCTTGGTCTCCCTGAATTTTTTGGCAAATGATGAGGGGAGGGATGTGAGGTGGGTGACTTGGAAAGAGAAAAGCACCCCGTACCCCCAGAGGCTCTTCTGGACACAGAGTTACAAACAAATATGAAGTAAAAAATGGAGGCACAGAGAATATGAGCTCTCACTGGGCTCAGAAGTTGGGTTTCCTCCCTGCCACTGAGGAATAGCACAAAGAAATAAGATGTCACGATAGCCAAGCAGCTAAATTACTAAAATCAAGTAGGTGAGGCCAGAGGAAACAATTTTATTCTTGCTTTAACCAGTCTTGGAGCTTAAACTTTTGAACTTTCCAGTCCTGTGTCAATATCCAGACGCACATCAAACCACCTGATAACCCTCTGTTGAGCCCCTGAAGGACGAAGGGACGAATGTCCATGTAGCCAGACCGCCTGGCATCCAGCGAACAGACCGCCTGCCCATCATCTCGAGAATTGCTATCTGGAACCAACCCAGAGGCTAAGCATGCAGAGCTGTTTCTTCCCAAGAAAGTACTGTTTCCTCTAAGAGCCCTCAGCTTCTTTCTTCCTCTGAACGCTCTGCACCTCGCCTAGCGGTGTTTCCAGTTTGTAAACCTCGGCCCTTGGAATGAATCCTCACCGGTGGTCACCAGCCAAAGCCTCGCGATCCAGCGGCGCTCGGGCAGCGTTATGGTGGCAGCCGTGGACCCGGACACTGCTTCAGCTCTGGGGCTGCCCCCTTGGGTTGAGCAAGGTGTGTGCTCGAGCCCTTTGTGCTGTGTTGTCTCCATGACAGTCCCGGGATTCCAGCGGTGAGTCCTCTAGGTTATGAATCTCCTTCTGTTACCAGAGAATCAAGTTCCTTCCTTGCTGGTGGGAGTGGGGTTCTTACAATATCTCTAGAACTTTCTAAGATTTGCATGGGAGAATGGTGGTTTTCACTGGCGTGGAGTTACATTTCTCAGGTTGTAAAGTCCCTGTCCTTACCCCAGTCCTGAAAGAGGTGCGCTGGGGATCCGGCGGAGCCGAGAGGAGGGCCAGTGTCCAGGGCTTCCGTCCATGTTGCAGCCGGGTCCAGCTCAGCCTCAAGCTCATTAAAGTCCATTCCTCCGTTGTGCAGAGTCCACATGGTGGTAGGCCATGCGGGTGAATGCAGGAGTCCCAAGAGGGCCTGAGGGCCAAAGACCAAGAGCCAAGAGAGAGAACACCCTTTGTTCAGAAATTTAAATATTCAGATTTCTCACCCTTGCAGCGGCCATGCTTATTCCAGGCAATCACCTGTTCCCTGGTGCGGCTGACAGGCAAGTCAGCACCTTCCCACAACACTCAGACCTTCCTGGGCACGTGTCCAGTCCCCGCTCCGTCACCATGGGGAGCAGACTTGGAGGGCGTTCAACTACAGCTTCCTGGCAAACCTGTGTACATGGTATGTCTTGGTCTTCCCTTTACTCCGTTCCGGTTAATAATAACCAGGTTGTTATAACGGAGTCACTCCCTTTGGTTGAGGTTCAGAACTTTTACTCTTGGTTCCCCTGACACTGGTGTCTGTGATGGGATGTCCTCTGTCTAAATCTGCTACAGAAGGACAACCCCGTCTGGAACACCATCTGTCTACATGTTCAAAACTTAGGATTTATTCTCTATCAAATCATTATCCCAAAGGACCTCAAGCACAACTTAGAACTGCAGTGGCCACTTTAGAGATCTTTTGAAATTCCAAAATTAGTTACATCTTAGGATGTTAAACAACCTGGATGAGAAGCATTTTTCGGTCGGAATTTAGAGGCCTTTAAGAAATGAAATGATTCGCTCTAACCGGTTTGGCTCAGTGGATAGAGCATTGGCCTGCAGACTGAAGGGTCGCAGGTTCAATTCCGGTCAAGGACATGTACCTTGGTTGCGGGCACATCCCCAGTAGGGGGTTGGTCCAGGTACGTGCAGGAGACAACCAATTAAGCCCCTCTCTCTCTCTCTTTCTCTCTCTTTCTCCCCCCTCCCTCCCTCACTCCTTCCCTTCCAGTCTCTCTAAAAATCAATGGAAAAAATATCCTCAGGTGAGGATTAACAAACAAAAAAAGACAAATTGATTTTAAAAGCGGTTCTAAAAGGGTCCTGAGGAAGCTTTGGCCATCTATGCAGGTCCTTTAACTTTTCTTCCTGATTCTACCCACTCCCCCCACCCCACTCCCTCGCCTCCCCTCATCCCTGGAAACCTGATATTTCAAAGAACTTAATGAGTCTATGGTCAGAAATCTGGCAAAATTGGAAGCTAAAGATTCTAACCTTGTTGGGAATTTTTTAAAAGCCTCCTCCCCTAAATAGAAATAAAACCACTTTGCCCAGAAAGAAGCAAATTAGGAATGATGTATGTGGATGGGTAGATCAACCTATGGTGCCACATAACTTAAAACCCAACTCTTTAGGGTATTGAGAGCAACTGTCCTCACCTTACAAATCTTTGGGAAAACAGAAATGCAGCCCTGGAAGCAGGTCGGCGCCCACCTGTCTGCCTCTGGTTCCTCAGGCTGAAGGAAGAAGGAGGGAATGAGCATTTTAAAGGCACAGCTGATGCTCTGACTCCAAGCTTCCTTGCCAAGGACAAGCACAAGTCTGCACGGCCTCACTCAGAAATGTAATAAGAAAAGGCCTCACCCACCCGACTCCATACACTGAACTTATAAACTAGTGGGGGTTTGCCTTATTTTACTAACTCATGGCTGAAATTTTAAAAACAAAACGATCCGGTCTCCGTTGGCATCTGTCTGTGTGCTCATGTATGCCCTGTGGTAGTTCCCACCCCTAGATAATATTGCTAATTTGGAAAAGTCTGTTTAATTGACTGAAAGAAATTAAGTCCTTACATAAAATTTCTCAAAAATATAATAGGAACTAATCCAAATGCCTCCTCAGAACCAAGGGCACTGGAGCGTATTTTATGGGAGAGCTGGTTTCAGTTTGGTTTGGTTACATCGGCAGAGCCTCAGGGTTGTATGTAACCCTCTCATCTACCTGGGTGTACTAATCAGCAAGCTCTCCAGGTCAGGATAAGTCCCTGCTATATCTGCTGCAAAATCTGTCAGCAAGAAAAACAACTTGGTATAATAAATGTTCTTAAGTAACCTAAACATTACTACTGAGAGTAGTAAAATTAAAGTTTTAAGTGAAGTTTTCAGCAATATTTATGCTTTATGGTATGTTTGCTTAAATAGTTTATCAAGATCTTTTGGGCCTGGCTGGTGTCGCTCAGAGGTTCAGCACTGAGCCGGGAACCAAGAGGCTGCGGGTTCAATTCCTGGTCAGGCCCATGCCCAGCTCTTGGGCTCAATCCCCTGGGGTGGGGGTGGGGGAGCGTGCAGGAGGTAGCAGATTGATGATGTTTCTCTCTCATCGATGTTTCTATCTCTCTATCCTTCTACCTTCCTCTCTCTCTAAAAATTCAATAAAAAGTATATATTTTTTTTTAAAAAAAATCTTTTAGTAACTTGTATCTCAGAGTTTTGCTAAGTTAAGTTAAATGATGAGTTAGGTTAAATTCATTGAATATCTACATTATTTTTTAAAAAAAAATACTAAAACATCAATTGCTAAGTCTAAGTTTACCTACTTTTGACTTCTTATTACAGATAAACTAAAACATAAATTTGGATCTGTTAATGAACATGTTTCATACTTGAGGAAGCATATGTATCTAAAATTATGAAATATTGGCCTGGCCAGTGTGGCTCAGTTGGTTGGAGCATTGTGGGTACACCAAAAGGTGGTGGTTTGATCCCTGGTCAGGGTGCGTGTGGGAGACAGCCCATTAGTGTTTCTGATATGGATGTTTCTCTCTCTGTGTCTCCCTCCCTCCCTCTTCCTAAAAATCAATTAAAAAAACAAAAACCTAAAAATTATGAAATATATTTGCCAGTAAAAGAAACTATGTTTCTAGAGCTTATGAAATATATTCATAAATTTGCCAATCTAAAGTGTGCTAATTGCTTACTTTTCAGTTGTCATTAGAAATTAAAATTTCTAAGGGTTAAGAATTCAAATTCAATGGGGGGCGTGAAAGGGGATCTATGTAATACTTTCAACAATAAAGATTTTTTTAAAGAAAATAAAAGGATTCTAATGAATATGAAAGGAAATAATATGTGTTTTTAGGAAAAGAAGACATAAAGTATGGAAATGCACTTTGTTCCTTAAACCTCTCCCAAGGATATTTTTCCCATTGATTTTTAAAAGAGAGTGGAAGGGAGGGAGGAGGGGAGGGAGGGAGGGAGGAGAGAAAGAGAGAAACATTGATCACGTCGATTGGTTGCCTCCTGCACGCACCCCAACTGCCCAGGATGGAACCTGTAACCCAGGTACGTGCCCTTGACTTGGAATCAAAGAGAGACC